CGGATCCTTGTATTCTACCGTTAGATGTCTATTGTAATTCCGCTGTTTAAATTCCGTACTCTAAACTTGGTACTGTAATAATGTATTTCTAAGAACTCTGGTTGTATGAAATGGACTAGGTATTGTAAACTCGTTCTCATTATTGGGTCCTAGAGGAAAAATGTGGATTATTTGAGTTCTCCCTTGGGGTGTGCTCGATGAAATCTGTCTGATGTAGCTTGCTTTTCGGGGTGCTTAGTGTCTGGTGGTAGACGAGCGCCTCTGAAGGTGTGTTATTTCGGACGGTTCTGCCACATCCGAGCTCTTCCTTCACCACTCATCGACGACTTAGTACCACCACCAGCAGCGTCTCCCTCTGCATCATCTTCACCAGCGACACCATTTTCTTCTGCAAACAAAAGGTACACACCACGTGCACCACGTGACCAATCTATTATTGTCGTTCGGCTACTGTGTTGATCATAATGATCTTAGCTATGTTGCTAGCTATATAGCTATTAATGATGTCTGATTTAAAGAGATCTGCATGCTAATTTATGAGATTGTAATGATTTGTATTCTGCTATTAATCTAGACATTAATCATGAAATTACCTAATTACTCAACAGAGTTCAACTCTTAAAATGGTTTGATTAATTAGCAGGTATGAGAAGATCTGTCGATCATAGCAGTATAACAATAGTGAGACCACTTGGATTGGCTTCCTTATCAAATTAGCATTCCATCCATATGTGGATCATCAAAAACGGAGTGTGGATGCGTCCTGGGTGACCAGTTTAAGGCAGACTGGTCCTGAAGGCCGAGATGGACTCGAACTTGATTTGGGCCTCCACCTTGGTGACTCGAATCGGATGAGCTTCGGGCCTCCTTCTCGCTTAGGACACCCTTTCTGATCTCCTTGGTCTCCATATGGTTCTCCAAGCATGGTCATATGTATGGAGGTCATGTCCTCATCATCCTTCCTTTCTTGACGAAAAGTCATCCTCGACGTTGATTTTGTTTGAAGCCGATCATGCACAACATGAGGATAAACGAGGTTTCCAAAATAATGGGAATGGACAATGTCATGAGAAAGAATATGACCATATGTCCAGGTTTATAGCATATCTTGTCCTACAGACATGTAGTCTGCTCTATTGAAATACACTCGATCTTTGCCAATACTATCCTACAAAAGATTAGTACTAACAAGAAACATATGCTCATTTTCTTTGGATTCCACTTGTGTTTGAAAAGCAAAACTAGAGGAATATGACATAACAATAGTGTTGGTTTTACTATCCTCTAGTTGATCATTACTTTGCACAACAAAAGGAGAATTCAGATTTGTACAAAAGTAAACTCGTTGTATCAAATATTGCTCTTGGTTGTTATATTTACCAAAAACATGATATGTATGTCTAGAGAACTATGGCAAATCAACATATGCATAAAGCTTCTCCTCTAAAAAACTAAGATTACACGGAACATCAAATTCAATGTAACCCAAAGTATTTAAAGAAGACAACAATTTCAGCCCATCAACTTCACTAGCATGATGAATAACAAGTCTATTTTCAGCATGAGTGCTTGATTTCAGCACACATATAGCATGATCATTCTTCAATGATTGCATGGGTATAACATAAATATCATCGTGCAAGTCATCTTCGTCACAAGGAACATCAAGCAAATCATCTTGTGACAAAGGTAAATCAAGTGAAGGTTCCACTAAAATTTGCTCTATCATAGCATGATTGGTGGAAAAATTCAACACATCAAGAGAACTCTTATCTTCCGTGAGTTTAGCATTGTGTGCATTACCTTTGCTCTCACGTTCAGCAGGAGTAATAGTTAATGGTTCTGAATTTTCACATGAAGCTGTGAGCATCTCCTTTTCTATCACGTCATCCTCGCTCTTTTGTACATTGTCCTACAAAAGGTTAGGCATAGCAGGAGGAATAACAAGAGATTGATCTAGTTGATGCACCTCATCATTTGAATTAATTATAAGAGATGGATTAACAAAATTTTCTCTCATAAGATGTTTCATATCATTCCAAGTTTGAGGTTTATCAGAAGGATCTAACGACTCCCACCAAGATAAAGCAGAATGTCGCAAAACACTAGCTGTATTTTTTACCTTCCTCCTTGGACACATAAAGCGAGTAGCAAATATGTTATCGATGGTAATTTCCCACGTCATGTACTCATCAGCACCTTTACCATCATAGATCGGTGGATACGAACAACCTGTCATTGTTAGAAGACAGCAAAAGACGACACAAAAGTATTATCCCTATTAGCTACTTAGGTTGTGGACAAGGAAAAACAAGGCACTAAACTCTCAAGCGTCTTACCACGGTCTTACAAGTGTTCTTACCAAAGCAACAGACGGTGCAATCGATCGATGACTGTGATACCGTTGTAGCTTGAGTGTAACAGTTGTAAGGCGAACCTGTACTTGGTTAGAAGAAAGTGGAGCTTGGACAGGCACAATATAGTAGCAAGGAAAAAACAATAGTCACAACTGAATAGCAAAGCTGAATAAATATCCCAAGTACTTGTCTTAGTTGCTGGCCTACTCACGTTCCAAGTACCAGATGTATCAAGTGATATGAACAGCAAGAATATGATTAGGAACAAGGTACAAATCAGCACACGCAAACACAGCTCAAATGACGCTCTCTATGTGCTCCTCTAGATATTGTTCCTCTTTTGTCCCTCATTTTTCTATTTTTGGGGTTGTCGTTGTTTTTTGGGAAATTTCAACTTTTTATTTTTATTTTTTTGATATTTTTCCTTTACTTAGGAGCACAAAAGAAGTAACCACAGAAAATATGAGCTCAAACAAGTGAAAGACGTGGCCTGTGGAATTTTCAGAAGACGTGCTCAAAATCGACAAAAACCTTGTGACCACGAAAAGATGATCTTGTGACCACTTTTTGACCAATCTAAAATTTTCGAACCCCAATAGAGCAAGGGATGGACGGATCCAAAAAAAAATTCTGATCGATTTTGATATATGGAACATCGAAATCCGAGTTCGTATGCGAAAATTAGACCAGTTTTACGAATTGACTCCGAATTAGAGGACAAAACGGGAACAATGCGCACAAAATTGGTCACAGCTGCAAGGATTTGATGAAAACAGTGAAGACAAGTGTAACAAATTAGATGGTGTGGACTAGGGTTTGATGGAAACAAGGGAAACACAGCAAAACTTGAAGGTGTTTACTTAATTATGATGAAAAACAAAAAAAAAGACACAAAGCGTACTCATAACGATCGAAACCAAAGAACAGAGAACTTGACCTAGGACACAAACTCAACAACGCGAAACAGAAATAATATTGCACGGCACAATAAAGCTATAGGACAGGGAATATGTAGTGGCATATATTTTTTTAGCTTTTTGGTAGACTATAGGTAATGCAAAAACAGTAACAATCTAAAGGGAAATTAAAGTTATACCTAACGGGCAACAAGGGCTCTGATACCACTTGATGTAGACTAGGCCTGATCTTCCGAAAAGTATGATAGCGTCGATTGATGGAGACTCAACGTTCACGATCTAGGCTTCGAACCAAGACTGATTCAGACCCCCGCAACCGTTACACCACTGCTCCGTTGGTTATCAACCACGCGAACGCGATTGACCTCGCCGAGAAAGCTTTTCTGCAAGCGAATCGAGAACACAAGCAAGAACGGGATGAACGCAATCTGAAATTACAAATAAATATGAGGCTTATGATAACGAGGAGTTCAAGTCTTTATTCGAAAGGACTAATCGCCACAGACGAACAAGATCAAGAACTGGGGTCCTGGTTCACAGCAAGCAGCCTTGGCGGCACAGTTGCAGCAAAACGATATCTGTTTCACAATGAAATCAAGAACTAAACAAAACCCCAAACCCTAAAGAGAGCGACGTTTGCTAATTATAGAGTCTTGGGCGTCACTCCCCCTGGACGCGCCCCCTAACGGGCCCAAACACGATACACGGTCCAACGGACCAAAATATGGTGTCGCAGCACCCTGACAGATTCTGGACGCTGACTTGTTTCGATGATTTCCGTTGATTCCGAAGAGCTTTTGACGAGAGACCACTTGGATTGGCTTTCTTATCAAATTAACTTTCCATCCATATGTGGATCATCGAAAACGGAGTCTGCATGTGTTCTGGGTGACCAGTTTAAAGCAGACTGGTTCTAAAGGCCGAGATGGATTTGAACTTAATTTGGGCCTTCACCTTGGTGACTCGAACCGGATGAGTTTCGAGCCTCCTTCTCGCTTAGGACACCTTTGCTAATCTTTTTGGTCTCCATATAGTTCTCCGAGCATGGTCATATGTATGAAAGTCATATCCTCATCACACAGGCTATAGATGGTCAAGACCACAGGCCTTCAAATTTTGCTCCCTGCTAGGCTGCTACAGTAAAAACACTCCAGCAGGTCCAAGCATGAAAGCCGTCCGTCCGGAATCGAAAAGAGACGGAGATGCCCGGTGACGATGAGAGCAGCAGATGATGCAATGGTTGTAGCGTAGGCATATTCGGGTCTTCCTTGCTTCTTTCGTTGCAGCCCGGGGGAGCGGCAGGACATGAAAGATGCGCCAGCTCGAGAAGGAAGGAGTATTTTGCTTTGGCTTTGGACGTAAAGTTGTTTGTGCTGATTTGTATGATTGATTTGTTAGAGAGAAAAGTACGCAGCCGAACACTGCCGAGGCTTATTCCGCCTAACTTGGTGATTACCGCTGCTGCTGCTCGCTGTCGACTGCCTGTTTGGTTGTTTGACCCGTCATCACTGGCACTTGCTGCTCCTCCTATCCTACCTGCACCATGGACTGCCTCGTCGACTGATGAGGTCACTGGAGAAGACTCGCTCACTAGGACTCATTCCCGTTTACCGAGTACTACTACAGCCTACCGGAACGTTGCCGAGCTTACGCTGTCGCTGTGACTGACAAGAGAAAGAAAGCTGTTCATCTGCCTGTGCTTTGGTTAGGGTTGGCACTATTACTCCTACCTAGGAGTAGTACAGTAATGGCAGCAGGTTACTGTAGCGTCACTAGTCCATGGATCAGCTGGCACTGGCAGCAGCGTCACCTGAAAACCACAGCCTGCCCGTTTTCTGTGTGCGCGGACAGCTATGCTGCACTGCACACAGGAAATGCAGATGCAAATGCAAGCAACTGAAAAGTAACGTCGGTTAATTTGCTTACATAGAAACAGAAATTAGTGAGTGATCGAGGCACGCACAACACACGAAAAGAAAGAAACGGCGGAGGAAAATCTGTCGGCCACCATCATCATTTACAGATTAGATAGATTAGCACCAAAAATCGTTTCCTATTACATACAAAAACCAGCCACTAAACCAGGACGCCGCCGGGTCCGGCCGGCGAACAGCGAACGAATCGCAGTCGCCCGTCGGGCGTCATCTACCTGAAAAACTACCCTACGGGACGGATCGAGACCCTCACCCTCCCTCCCTAGCCGGAGCAGGCGACGACGGCTGCCGAGGAACGGCAGCGCGCGGCTCCTCCTGCTGCCGCGCCCGGGCCCGCCGGCGGGGTCGGCGGACTCCGGGGCCGCGGCGGGCGCTGGCGCCACCACCTCCTGGATGGTCTCCAGCTTGGGCGCCCAGCGGCGGGACTTGCCGTACCCGACCAGCTCCTCGTAGTCCTTGGCGAGGCGGTCGTCCCCGCGCAGCAGCACGGAGGGCTGCTGCTCCTGCTCCTTCTCCTTCTGCGCGTCCGCGTCGGCCTCGTCGTCGTCGTCGACGCCCTTGCCGTCGCCGCCCGCGAGGAGGAAGTCGTCGGAGAACTTGATCTGCAGCGTGCCGGACGCCGTGCGGTGGAGCTCGAACGGCCGCCCCGCGCCGGGCTTCTTCCCTGCACCGGAGGCGGCGGTGGTGGACGATGACAGCAGCAGCAGCATCAGCGACGAGGCGAGGGAGACGAAGGAGAGGACGGAGCGGAACAGGTGCGCGGGGAGCAGGAAGTAGGCCTCCCCGGGCTGCAGCTCCTCTCCGGCCTCCACGGCGGGGATCTTCTCCCCGATGAGCAGCGCGTCGGCGCGGCACACCAGGTGCCGCGGGTGGTCCTGCATCAGCTCCCGCGCCGTCACGGGCGGCGTGTACGCGCGCACCCGCCCGTCGCACCCCACCAGCCGCACCACCTTAGCCGGCGGCGACGGCGACGATGGCGGGTGCGGGAAGCAGGACGCCGCGGTGCCGTGCAGGTGCAGCGCCGGGACCAGGGACTTCCACTGCCTCATCGCGGCGGTGGGAGCTGAGCGCTGGCGGAAGAGAGGCGGAGAGGGGGAGAGAAAAAGAAGGAGCTGGAGGTGGGGGGCGGGTCAGTGGGGTGGTGGGTATAAGAGGGAGGGGAGAGTGGGGGCGCGCGGGGCCCACCGGCGTGGTGGCAGGTTTGACTCTTTGACCGCCGGGTTTTTCTTTTCTTTTCCTCTTTCCAGGGTAGGGTAGAGAGAGAAAGGTGTGGTGGGCTGGCTGTCGTTGGTTGTTGATTCAATTCAAAGATGCGAGGCTGTCAGTGAGTCGGTCGTAGTCCACGTGTGGGGGTCGACCGCACCAGGCTACCGTGCCCGTGCGACCATGGATGGGCATCATACGGCTGGGACGGAACTGGAAACCTCTCTTCGGCTCTTCCTCCATGGCTGGCGCCACGGCCACGAAAGATGCATTTTTTTTTCTGTGTGACGATGAGAAGTGTGCTAGAGGGACTTCACTCACGTCTCTCTTCGCAATCTTTTTTTTTCACGTGAACCGCGGTTTAATTACCTAGCTTCATGGCTTGCTTCATTCTATTTGCCTATTTCTGGCCGGTGGCGTGGATCGAAACGTACGTCCACACGTGTTTTTTGACTGGGTTTCTAGTGGCCGTTTTTTTACCCTGTCCAACACTGTGGGCGTGCGTATGAACTCTATGAGCGACGCGCTGGCACTGCCGGTTTTCCGTTCGAGCACACAGAGATCACATTATAGTAGGCCCCAGCCAGGTCCATCAATATTGGCATGCATAGGAACTTTGTGCATGCCACGACGCCATCGGCTGGCTTTCTATTCACGCACATAGAAACTTACCTCTTCACATGTTTCTCAAGGTGTGCTAGAGGGGGCTTCACCTACACCTCTCCTCATAAGTTTCTCGAGGTGTGGCTGGCCTAATAGGCTTTTCCGCTGTAACGTATAGGAATTCCGTGCTTTTGAGGGCCTTATATGGCCAGATTTCTGGTGTTGAGCACCGAAACACATCTCTTTGTATGTTTCTCGTGTGCCTCGGTCCAACTAGCTTTTTGTTGGCGCGCATAGGAATTCTGTGCATCGTGCTAGCCCTGTTGGCTTTCTGTTCGAGCACATGAAAAATCATCACAACACACTCCAACTAGCTCTATGTTGGCACATATATAGAAACTTTGTGCATGCTGCTACGATCCAGCTGTCATTGATCAATCGTGCTAATTTTTTTATCTTCGTTGAGGATGACACTTAGGTGTGTCATGGCTTAACTGGTTCTTTCATTAGCACGCGTAGGAACCATGTGCTTGCTCGTGTTCTATCTGGATGGATTTTCTGGCCGATGGCGCGGACCGAAACGTACGTCTTCATGCGTTTCTTGACTGGATTCGTAGTGCCGGTTTTTTCTCGAGCGCGCCCGTCCAACCAGCTTCCTGTGGGCACATGCATGAACTCTGTGCGTGACATGCTGATACTGCTGGCTTTCTGTTCGAGCACATGGAAAACACATTACATGGGCGCTCCAACCAGCTCTATGTTGGCCTACGTAGGAATTGTGTGCGCGCTGCGATGGCATTGACTAGCTTTGTGTTCATGCACATAGAAACTAACCTCTTTACATGTTCCTCTACGTATGCTAGAGGGGCTTCGCCTACACCTCTCCTCAACTTTCTCAAGGTGTGTCGGCCTAACGGGCTTTTTCCATTGTAACATATAATAATTTCGTGCGTTTCCATGCCTTATATGGCTGGATGCCTGGATTTCTAGTGTTGCGCATCGAAACATACCTCTTCGTATGTTTCATGTGTGTTGGTCCAACTACCTTTATGTTGACGTACATAGGAATTATATGTGCGCCGCACTACCCCCGCTTTCTATTCCAGCCAGCACATGAAAATCCATCACAATATGCTCCAACTAGCTCTGTTTTGTGGATGACGCTACGATCCAACTGTCATCGATGGATCTTTCTAATTTTTTGGATCTTCTACGAGGATGTCACTTAGGTGTGTTGCAGCTTAACTGGCTTTTTCATTTGCGTGTGTAGGAACCTCATGCTTGCTCATGTTCTATATGGTAGATTTCTAGTGGCGTGCATTGAAATGTATGTCTTCATGCGTCTCTTGATTAGATTTCTGGTGCCTGATTTTTTCTTGACCGTCCAGCCATCATCTTCCTGCCGGTGCATGTATGAACTTTCGTGCACAACACGTTGATACGGCCGGCTTGCGAGCACATGGAAATTACATTACAGTACGTTCCAACTAGCTCTACTTTGGCATGCTTGGAAACTTTGTGCGTATCGCAACAATATCGACTGGCTTTCTGTTCGCGCACATAGAAACTTACCTCTTTACATGTTTCTCAAGGTGTGCTAGAGGGGCTTCGCCTACACCTCTCATCACAAGTTTCACACGGTGTTCTAGTCTAACATACTTTTCCGCCGTAACCTATAGGAATTCCATAGTACGTTTCTGCACCTTATATATATGGCTAGATTTCTGGTGTCGTGCATCAAAATATACCTCTTCATATGTTTCTCTTGTGCATGCATCGGTCCAACTAGCTTTGTATTGGTGCACATAAGAATTCTCTATGCACCGTGCCGATCCAGTTGGCTTTTTGTTCGCGCTCAAAGAAATTTAAACCTCTTCACATGCATGTGTTTTTCAAGAGTGTCGATACAACTAGTTTCTATGCATGGCCACATATATATAGGAATTTTGTGCATGCAGTGTCCGTCCATTGCTTTTCTGATATGATTGTATACATCTAGAAATTTACCTCTTTTGGAACTGCACTTGTCAATCTAACTTGCTTTTGTATTGCCACCCATGAATCCTCTATGTCAACCCCACTACATTTTTGTTGATTCTCAAAATAAAAATTTGCATTTTTAAGGAAAGTTCCTTAGAGCCTAATATATATGTTGTACTATATCTAAAAATCAGTGTCGTCTTAGTGTGGCACTCTAATTGCTGGAAGCAATCTTGCAATTCCATGGACCACAAAATATAACAAATGTATAATAATAACTAGACAGGCATATTGCCACACTAGAATAAGTACCGCTCTGCTGACTACTCGGTAGTGTAGGAATAATATGTGGTCAAAGTTCCAAACTGTTGTTGAACAACCTCGAAATTAAACATACAGTTTTGGTAGTATTTGTGAGACTATCGAGTACCGGACCCTTGCTGCGAGTAAAACCTTCTAGAACATGCACGAGAGCTTGAAAGCAAGCGAACCACCGCCACCAGCTACGTCGACACTCAACCGCCATGCATGGGGTCCAAATTAAAATGAACAGGAAAAGCTAGCTGACCGATCGAGTAGTTTGCAAAATATGTTCTCTGACCAGTGACCGCCGCGATCATGCTCAATCACTCACTCTGCATGCAACCTGCACGCAGCCGGCGGCTCTCGTCACTTGCTTCGAAAACATTCGTCAATGAGCGCAGTGATAAAAAGGCTGTTTGTTTGTTAGGTCGGGTCGGTGGGTCGGCAAGTCCACCAATCATGCCTCGTCAGCTCGACCGGTACCAGCTACTACTAGTACTTTACTAGACAGTTTATCTATGTGTAGCTTAGAGCATCTTCGAGAATATTCTAAATTTTCCTCCAAAAATTCTATGTTTTTCAACTCCTAAAAATATATTAGAAGAAAAAAAGTCATCTTCGATATTACCTAATATTTCACTTCTAAAAAGTTAAAATTTGATCATCTTCTTCCTGAGAACAAGGCATTTGTCGACCGTCACCTTGCTACTACTTAATCGGGCGATCGATCAACATCGTCATGACCACTGAGCATCTCTTCGAACTTGGAGATCATCCATTGATGGCCATCGTCATTGATCAGTTGGTGGCAGGAGCTACCTTGACGAGGACAGAGGAGGCAGAAGAAGACAAGGACGGCTGGTGGTGGTGCTTCAGCGCCCTCTCGACGAGCATGTTGAGGAAGTTCATGTGCTGCGCAGCGTGGCCGAGCGCCGTGAGCAAGTTGCGTGTGCCCATCCTGTTGGCCTTCTCCTCCTGCGCCCCGTCCGCCATGAGGTTCACCGCCTAGTCTAGCAGCGCCGCAGAGCCATGCGCAGTCATCCTCCGTCTCGCACCGCGTCACCTCCTCCGCCGGGGAGCTCCTGGAACCACGCTTGCTCCTTGAAGTACGGTACGGTACCAGAAACCTTGACCTTGATGAGGCATGCGATGCAGTGCACGTCGACCCGGACGCGAGTCCCGTCCCTCCCAGGCTCCCAGGCTCCCAGGCTCCAGGCGCCCCCACCCCCCGCGCGCGCCCGGCCATCACGCCCCCGCCCCGCGTGTCGATCTGCTGCCCCCAAACAACACGGACGCACACGCACGCACGCACGCAGGAATCAATCGCGCGCGCGCACACACACACAGGACGTGCACGCACCACCCCCTCCCGTCCTCCCCGTCCCTGCGTCCCGGAGAGAGAAAAGTCTCCTCCCCTCCCCTCTCCGCCCCGGCCCCCTCTCAAACATCCCCCGCGCCGATGGATCTCCGCCTCGCCCACTAGGCCGCCAGCGCGAGCACGTGTGGGTAGCGGGGTGCTTCTCCTCGGGCGGAGGCCGTGGCTGCTGCTCCTCGCCCTCGTTTCTGCGGCCGTCGCCGTCGTCGAGGAAGCCTCCGAGGGCGACGCTGATCCGCTCTACAGGTTCGAGATCCTCCCTCCCTCCTCCGCTGTTTGCCTTTGCACGCTGCTTGGTCTCGCAGTCTAGCTCCCGCTCCTGCTGCTTTGCGTCGTCGTCCGGTCTGTCTGTGGTGGGGGCACTACGAGTATGACCCTGTACACGCCTTTCACAAACTACTCAGAAGGTTGAAAACAAAAACAAACTCCTGAAAGCCAAGCATAATATTCTCGATCTCCTTCTGAATCGAGTCGATGATAGATCGCTCCGCGAGTCCTTCTTCTTCCATAGATTACAAGCTCGAGGAAATGTGAAAAACCATATGAATAGATTTGTCTTGAAAAAAATACTTTCATAAAATATAC